ATGCTTTAAAGGCTTTAGAAACAAAGGATAAAGTTCGAATACTTATATATATGTATATACATATATTTATTTATTTACCCATTCATAAAGGAATACCTTGCATATTCACTGGTAAACCCAAAAATCCAACCGCCCTTCCAAACTAAATGAAGGGTATGAAAGCATGGTGAAGGAATTGGTTTTGAATCGCGTCTAGAACTGAGACCGAGGCGTAACATCCTAAATGATGAGACCTCTTTACATTTTGGCAGCGCAATTAACATGTATCAGGGCATCTTTTATTTCGTTTAAAGAGGTGAGTGGTAGCACTGTAAGTTGAAGGGAGATTTCCTCGGAGCTGTGACTGTAGATTTGTGCTAATAAGTGCTCGGCTCACTGTCCCACGACCCCAAAGGATCGTTGCTGAGCTTTTGTCCGTCATTTGATGGATATTGTCAAGGCAGGATACCATGTTGTATGATAATTGAGCAAAAAAGAATACAAGAAAAGTGGCTGGCTGCAATCCTATCAACTTCTTATAGCCTAACTTTGTCCACTTAATGAAACATCTTATGATTTGGTTGGATATTCACTGTTTTCCCTACATGCTTGCGGAAAAGTGGAATGAATGCAGATGAAATCAACAGAATAGCCAACAACCTGAATAGAAGGAATGAGTGTAGGAAACTAAGCAGAAGCTACTCCTGACTGCTACATAGGATTAGAGAGAGAGAGGGAATAAGAAGTAGTGCCGAGCAAGAGGAGACTTGATTAGCTTCTAATAAATTTTCACTTTTAAACAACACACGAACGATGGAATCACATGCAATCACATGCTGCAACATTACAGCCATTTCACTTTTCAACGAACATGTAGGAAGAGCAGAGGATATCTAAGCAAATCATGAGATGTCTCACTAAGTGGGCAAAGTTAGGCGATGAGAAGCAGGTAGGATTACAGCCGGCCACCTTTCAGGTCTTTGTTTATGATGAATTATCGTGAAGCATGATGTCCCACTCAGGTGTCCGTCTCATGACAGACGAAAACTCAGAAAGGATTCATCAGTGTCGCGGGACGATGAGTCGAGCTACAGTCACCGTTCCAAGGCAACTCCTATTCGACTTCTGGTGAGATTAACTAACAAATCTTATTAATTCGCCTCTTAAAATGAAATGAAAGGTACTCCAACGTCAATATATTAGAGATTTTTTGAGAACCAGTATTCTACATATCAACTAACAGGTTGTTAACTACCAAGGTGATGAGTGAAAACTAGAAAGAGTCGAACAAACAAAGTTCCCACCGCCCGAAATTAGAAGCCTAAAGTAATGGAGAACCCCAATGAATTGTCACAAACAACACATGCATAGGATAAACGAAAGGTCATAAGTGAAAATAATGCGTCTTAAAATATCAA